CCCCTACCGGGCAGTATAAGTACAGTCTGTCTGTAGCACTGTGGACAGCCTTGCTTAGCATTTCAGCTGGACTTGGAACAAGAAGCCCAAGGCAGGCAGGTATGACTGCATACCTTGGCAGGACATACATGAACACACAGGTAACTGCAAGGAAAGCACATTACTCCTCTAAACATTTGCAACACAGGGCTGTAGCTGCTGAAAGCTCAGCTCCTCTCTGGTCTAGAGAGCACAATGCAGAAGGATGGCAAAGTCCTCCACTTGGCATCCAGAAGCAAAAAGGGCCTCTGAGCCCTCTCAGATACATGTGGCATACCCTTTGAACTAGCTGGAATTCATCCCTTACCTTCTCTCCCTTTCCTGGCATACATAATTCTACCTCATGGGCGAATGTTCTGATCTCATCTCATGAATCAGTGTAGGCATGCTGCAGGAAGGGAAGGCCAAAGGCACATGCAGGTAGCAATTCAAACATAAGTGGTAACACATGCAAAGGACACTTCCCAAATTTATTCCCTCTTCAGCACTAGTGGGGGGTTTATTTGCAAGTCCTCCGCAGCTTAAGAGGGTCCTGCATGTACGCACAGGAAAATATAATTCTGCCATTGCTGCCTCTGCAGAACTTCTGTGACTTCACATGTTTTCAACCTAATCATCAAGCCCAGAGAGTGGTGAGAAAGGAAAGGCAGCTCTTGTGCAGGTCAGCCCTTTCCCCTCCACATACTCACCCTCTTGTCAAGTTGTCCTCTAGGGAGGACAGGAGAGTCCTCCGGGCTGGCAGAGGTGCAGTGCAGGTTCACCAAACACCCAGCACGTGTGTCTCTCTGTGAGCAAGGGCAGCACTGGTGGCAGGTGAGGACAGTACCTACCAAGGGACTCCACCAGATATGGAGAAGGGCAGAAGGGTGATTCAGCAGCACATGGGATTTTGCAGCTCAGGATTGCAGGGCACAGGCAGAGAGAGCTCCATGCAGGGAGGGATGCTGGGACTGCTCCAGGGCAGTGGGACATGAGCACGGTTTCTGGTAGCAGAGATGCTGAATGCACAGGCAATGTCAGCACAGTCCAGCAGTGTGCAGGGGGAGATTAGACAGGGAACGCAAATGAAAACCTGAACGTACGTTTGTTCTCAGCAGAGGATGGCACAGAAAACAAAGCCTTGATTGCAGATGGAAATGAAGGGGCACAGGATGCTGTGGACCGACAGAGCCACATGGAGGCCAGCCCTCAAGGATCAAAAATGAGCTCTGAGCCTTCTCAGATACCTGCAGCATACCCTTTGAACTAGCTGGAATTCATCCCTTACCTTCTCTCCCTTTCCTGGCATATATAAAACCCATGGCAGGGGGGTTGGAAAGAATCTTAATGGGTTGGAACTAGATGATCTTAAGATCCTTTCCAACCCTAACTATTCTCTGATTCTATATGTAATCCTATATGCCAGGAAATACAGGCATATTTCCAAGTGACAGCCCAAGTGGGTAGGCATGAGCTTTCATTCACACCTAAGACTGTAACCACGGTGAGAGTGTGGTGGGTTGCTGTGCATTCAGGTGCAAGGCTTTTTCCCTGTACAAGCCAGGCTTTAACTGCTAAAGGCGAGTTCCCACCACTCTGGGGCTGGCAGGGAATGCTGGCAGGCTCCCAGGCCTGGCTTGGGGCCTGTGCAGGCGATGCCGATGTGGAGGAGGCACAGCTCAGCTTTCAAGCCCTCTCTGCTGGGGGTCCTGGCCAGCATCACTCTGCCCCCACTGCCTGGCACACTGTTATGCTCACCTCATATTCCTGGGAGAACTTCAGCCCGTCGTTGGCTTTCAGCCTGTCGATGTTGTCAGCGAGGTCCGTCACAGGGATTGGGGGGTGGTCACGCATGCCTGCAAGAGACACAAGGAGGGAGGAGGGAGAGGAAAATGGTTATGGCTCAGCATGGCCGAGGAATCCTTGACAATAGCATGTGCACAGCAAACCAAAAGGTGGGTGCAAGGCGGACGTATGACTATGTGAAGTGCTGGGTGGGATGGATGGGAAGTCGGCGAGATCACGCGGCATGCTGCACGCACTCTCAGAGCGGTGAAACACAACAGAAAAGTGATGTGCAGGATGTGCATGACCGGATGAGCATGCTCGGACAGTACAGCCACCAGGCACACAGAGCAGGCCACACAGCGGCAGGGGCTTGGGCAAGCCCCCGGCAGAAACGGGCTCCTGCATGGGCTGAAGTTGAACACACTGATTGTCTAGTGCTCTCACTACTAAGGGCTAAGGCTGATCCTCCCTAATGACAGTATTAGCCAAGAAGAAACTCACCCAGACCTGCACCAAGGGAAACCTCTGTGGTGTAGGTGCACAGTTTTTTGGGTAGGCAGATGATGCCCCAGCCCCTGGGAGCTAGAGAAAGATGGGAAGGGCCCCATAGAGGAACGGCTGCTTCCATGGTCAGAGACTGCACAACTTTCCAAGACCTGAGGAGCAGCTCTGCCTGTAGTCACATAACTCAGTGCTTTTCAGTGGTGCTCCAGAGGCAGAGCCAGCTCCAAGGCCCAAAATCCAGCTCCACTGGGCTGTCTTGTGCAAGGCGCCATGTGCTCTAGAGCAGCTTCTTGGAGGCTGCTGAGAGCTGAGATGCAGCTCGAGCCATGGCTTAAGTCTTGCCCTATCTAAAGCAGGGATGAGGCCTGAAGGAGAGGATCCCACAGGTCCTGCACAGAGGACAGGTACTGTGAGGGTGTGCATGTGGGACTGGGGGGAGCCCTACTGGAGCCCTGGGATTCAGAGCTCAACCATTGCAGCCTTTGTCTGAAGCTGAGA